GTTACTTTTTTTTTCTTTGCAAAAAGAGCAGAAAAGAATGGAAAAAAAAGGAAAAGTGATTGGTACTGCCATTTTAAATAATTATTATGGAAAATTTTTTACTTGTTGGTTTTGTTTTTCAACCTGGCTAGAGCCTTGGCAGTTGATGTTATTGTTTTTGTTGTTGTTGATGCTACTGCTGCTGCTGCTGCTGGTGGTGACGGCTATGATGCTAATGATGATGGTGATGTTGATGGCAAGCGTTTGTCGCCTTTGCTGTTGCTTATGTTAATGCTGGTTCTGGTGCTCATTCTGATACTTATGTTAATGCTACTGGTCGCTGTTGTTGTTGTTTTACGGACAATATTCTTCTTCAAGTACTGACCAGATATTTGTGTCACTTCTTCTTTGAGGTGTCACAGTCATTTCAGCACTTTTTTGCACCAACAGTCGTCTTTTTATTCCCGTTTATCATAATTTTCATAATTTTTAGATAGACATATAGAGTCTAAAATAGTACGGTGGTTTTCAGTTGGAAAATGAGATCTATGGAGAAATTTGTTGGATTGTTTTTAGCTTTTTTTTCACAAAATATCACTACATAAATTTTCAAATTTTTTCGCTTTTTTTTTTTTGCTTTTTTTAATAAGCATTTTTTCTTTCCTCTTTCCTTGTGCATATGTGTGTGTGTGTTTGTCATGTATTTATGCAAAAAGTTTGTTGAGACGTTGTTATACAAGAATTATTTTCATCTAGTTTTTTTTTTTTTTTTTCGGAAAAAGAAATGAACGAAAAAAAAGATTTTGGGCTATACAATTCGTTGTGGTGAAAACTTCAATTGAATAAACCTCATTTTAGAGGCCTTGCATTTTTTTGCCGGATTTTTTTTTATCTTTGGTTTTCTTTCCTTTTCTTCTCATTTTTTCTAAACTACTTTTTTTTCCTTGTTATTGGTCTTCAAATATTTCTTGTTTTGAACTGTTTCAGGATAAAAGAAGAAAAAGAGGGCAATGGAAAACTTTACTCAGCTTAATTGATGATTGTCGGATTTTTTTCGCGTCTTAAAGCAACTTCATGTTTTTTTTTTTTTTTATTACTTGGACGACATTTGAGGAAAGGAACGATATTAAATTTACACCAATTTAGTTTGTTTAATTTGTTTTTAATTACCTGAACGACTATTAATATACGGCAAGATCATCGGCTATGCAGACAATCAAGCAGCTGATCAGTTATGGGTCTCTGAATATTACAAGCTGTAAATTTTAGTTTTCAACACTAAATAACTATTCACTCAGTTGAAAAGTTGGATTTTTTGGTGAATTTACGGGATGAATGGACAGCGGCAGAATTAGTTGGTGTATCAAGTTGAAGGTACGGAAAGTAGGCAAGAAGGGAGGCATTCAACTTTATGCCATTTTTTGTATTTTTGTTCGAATTGAGTTTTTTTTCTGTGAACGTTGAATTCTTCTGTGTCCGTCAGACGAATATTGTTTCTGATTAAATATATTCTTCTTAAAAATGTGGTAGTTATTTGTTTATTAGAAAAGAGGAAAAGACAGTTTTTTACTAGCATTAATTTAATTTTTTTCTTTTTTCCTCACTTCCGAATTTATGATTTTCTCTTTCCGAACTTCAAATTATCTCATTAACGGTGCGTTTAATGGGCAATTAGTGGTATCCAGTAGACCGACACTGACATTTTGAATGTGTGAGGTTGAAGAAACTCAACTGAAAAAAAGTTGAAAGAATAGCCACAGAAAAGAGGAAAGGACTGGGAGAACGAAGATGCAAAGCAGAATAATATGAATAATACCTTAATAACAATGAAATTAACAACAGTTAATAGTAATAATAATAATGCATGGGTGTTGTTTATAGATGCAAAACAGAAGCAGCGGTAGCGGAAAAAGCACAGTATCAATGAAGTTCATTAAAAAAGGTGAAATCAGAAGTACTGAAAGAAAAAATAGCAAGTAGACTAGAGGAAGAAATAAGTGATTATTACCTCATTTTTTGGTCAAATTAAGAAACTTTATTGTTGTTGACTGACAAACTTTTGTTCAATTAATCTTCAAAAAAGCTTCTAAGTAGTTTTTTTCCGGTTTTATTCCGTCATTTTTTCGTTTATCTGTTTATTTATTTGTACTTTTCATTCGTTCGTTGTTTTTTTTTTCCCCTCCCCCCTCTCAACTATTCTCATCGATTGGATGCCCGTTAAAATTAAAATGTGTTCTTCTTTTTCTTTCCGGACTGTTTATTTAATTTATTTGTTATAAACAAACTCAATCTGTTTTATTTTATTTTATTTTATTTTTTTGAAAAAGTATTTTTCTTTCATAATTATTATTTGTTGTGTTTGAATAAAATAAAAAATAGTTTGTTTTTTTTCTTTTTTTTAATTTGAAAAGGACATTTACATTGTCGATTGATTAATAAAAAGGAAGAAAATTTTTATTTTCTGTTTAGGTTGGTTATATTTAGCATATTACTTCCATATAAACACACAGGCAAAAACAAAAAAAATGGATTTCAAACCATTTTGTTTTGCAATATTTCAGTTTCCTTTTTTCACCGTCAACACAGTTCACTAAAATGTTCTTTACACTTTTTCTACTAAAACAGAAACACTTGTCTTTTTTTTGGAATACTGTACTGCTTACAGTAATTGCTGTTTGAATTTTCTTATTTTCTTGTCAACGCGTATGAATAATGTTACAGCACAAAAAACGGTTAGTATGCATAATGACGATGTCCAATGCGATACAGCAGTCAATTGGTTGGAAGAAAAAAACTAATATTTATTTCTTTTCTTTCCTCTTTTCTTCTTTTTTCACTTTCTCCTCTTCTCTCCCCCCCATCTGTTAATTTGTAAAACAGTAAAGTCAAAAAAAAAAAA